ATGAGATCTTTGTACACAAGTATTATATTATATATTTACTTTTCATTGTTAGGAGAAATGATAGTAGAAGAAAAAAATGAATTAGTAGTGTCTTCCGCTACATATCCAGGAGTTTCTTCCTCCACTTAGCGGTTAAGCTCCAATTCTATTGGTATCGGAATATCAGCATTTGAAGCCATAAAATACTCCATATTTGTTATAAAATATTCCATATTTGTTACTTATCTTTACAAAAAAAAAAACGATATATTTATAAAAAAAAACGATATATTTATAAAAAAAAACGATATATTTATAAATACTCTTTACTCTGATTACGAGAAATAATTTTTTTTACAGAACATTTCAATTCAGTTGAAAGAAAAAATAAAACAATTCAATATTAAAGAATAAATAGAATGTATTACTATTTACAAAAAACATGTTAAAAAGTAAACAAGTGAATATACGTAGTTAAATCTAAAGTCACGTGAGCAAATAGAACGCTACTATTGATCTACACTAGGTACAACAAATGTACGTCGAGCGTCTCGTATAAAAAGTTTATTTACGACAAATGATCTACCAAACTATATTAAAAAAAACAAATTAATTGAGCTATCGGATAATTTTTTTCAAATAAGTCCACAAAAAATAGATAATTTGCATATATGAAGTCATTTTTTCCAAAAACGTCGAATACGACACTTGTATTCGTGGCTGACGATTTGTTTAAGTACTAATTATTTGAATAAATATTTTATATATTATGCGGTATTACAAAATTTTGTTCTCAAATGTTTTTCAAATATTTACTTCTTTAACTAGTAGTTATTTAAATTAAATATTTATATATTTTCAGAAAAATGCCTCGCAAATACATAAGAAAAACAGCAAGATGCATATTATCAGAGAAGAAAGTATGCGTTACAATTAATATGGTAATAAAAGATGAAAAATCTCTAAGGGATAGTGCTAAAAGCAATAACATACATTTATGACTTTATACAACAGATTTTAAAAATACAAAAATTCCTCAAAATTAGAAGAGGTGAAGAAAAAAGAGTATTTATTTAGTTCTAAATACACAAACCAACAAATATTTACAATTCAGCAAGAAAAAATTCTAGTTGAATATATAGTTAAAAGTAGTAAGATCCAATATGGTCTTACTTATAAACAAGTGCGAAAATTGTCCTACGACTACAGTTACTTATAAACAAGTGCAAAAATTATCCTACGGTTATAGTCAAATAATGAACTTGTTAGAGTAGATTGGAAGAAAGGATTTATGAGAAGGCATAAACATAAAATTCCACCTAATCGCATTTTTAATTTAGATTAACTGGATTATCAACTGTAACGCAAACTCCTTGTTTAGCTGCTCCGAAGAGAATAAAGCAAGTTGGCCAAGCTGTATTTGCAGAGTGAGGCTAAATGATCCCATTTTGCGCTATAATTGGAGCAACTGGCAACACAATTTCACCGGTTTTTAAATTTCCTCGTGTTCGTTTAAATTTTTTTTTTTTATATGGTGCACCAGAGGGTAGCTTAGGATTAGAAAACACAGTTTGCTTCATCGAAGTTTTGAAGCATATCCAGAATCACAATAACTGTACAAAAAATGATTCAAAACAAATTTTATAAAACAATCATGAATCCTATGCTACTCTTGAAGCAATTATGTATTACAGAGAGAATGATATTGTGCTTGTAACATAACCACCACATTGCACACATCGACTACAACCTCTTGATGTAGGACTATATGGGCCATTTAAAGGTAAATTAAAAATTGTTTTTTTAACAATTGGATGCTAAGTAATTCTGGTAAAACCATAATCATTTACAATTTGCCTGCTTTAATTAACACAGCATATTTAGGATCATTTTCATTGAAAAATATCCTGTCAGCTAGTACAGTACAGTAGTCACACTAGTAATTGGCCTTTTTGTAGATCTTTTTGCATAATTTAAAATGTCTACTTGAATGAGCTGTTTTCTTTTCATGTTTACATTTTCTTGATATGTCTTTATATTATATTGCTGGGTTTAAAATTTTGGTTTTCTTTTTCTTTGAATATACAATTATTTAGTACGAAGTTTCTCTTTATGTATAAATGTTAACATGAGGTGTACCAATGCTACTCTTGCTGTGTACCGATGCTCCCCATGTAAAAAAACATTGGTACAAAAAATTACGTTTTGAAAGTTCAAAAGTATTGTACTTAACTTGTTTGTAAACATGAATTATATTTATATGTTGCCAACACATTGGAAAAATAACAAAAATATTAGTTTTCAACTTTTCTTGTCGATAATGTATACATGGAACAAAAAAAAATCTTAAGCAGGTTTTAGCAGATGTCTGTTTAGCAACAATGAACTTTTCCTTAAGGTAAGTTAGACAAGCTTTGCAATCTAAATTTCATGTTGCTGGCACAATTTTAGTTGCTTTTGTTTGGACGGCGTCTGGAGCTTCTATATCTTTTTTTTTAAAAGGATTCCAAACAGATGCATA